AACCCTGTATATTTGCAAATATGAAGCAGGAATTACCAAGTGGGATGTTTTGTCTCACTTTGTGTTTCATTAGTGTACTGGTGGTGTACCACCTGGTATGTCCCCTGGTGTACATGCCCCTGGTTTCTCCAGTACTGGCTTCGCGTTTGTTTGCTTATTCGGCCTTGACGGGCTGATGCCTGGTACGGTACGCCCCATTTTACTGCCCACCTGTCCTTTCTCTACCATTCCCCCTGTTTGTCTCTTCCTTTGTTTTGATCTTTTCTCTTTTTGTCTAAAAAAGAATGCTGCTCAATTTCCCTTTCTCTGCTAACTCTGTAGCGCCGCATTCCTTTTACATGATGGTCTGGGCAGCTCAGGTCTTAACATTCTCTGGGCAGCGTTGAAGCTTTACACATTACTGGATGGAAGTACCTGCTGCACTCTTTGTTGAAACAACACTTTCCCTTCCTCAACATGTTCACACATTTTCTGGTATGTGCCATATAGGCACATACCTTTAGCATAGTATCTGCATATGTTCTGACTACCTATATTTATTGATTCTGTGTCGTTCCTAAGTTCTGCCACCTGATCTGAATTCTCTTGTTCACTTTCTTCTAGGCTAATTTCTTCCCTCTGCTCATTTTCGTTTGTTCCTGTTCTAGCTTTCTCATCCTCCCTTCCCCTTTCCGCTATGTTATGTATCCCTGTTTCCTTCTTTTCCGACTTGCTCTGTATGATGTTTTCCACTCTTACTCTTATTTCCACTCCTTGGTTTTCACCTCTATTTGCATTTTCCTCCTTTTCTTGTTCCCTTTACCCTGTTTTCCACTCTTTATATAACTCTGGCAAGCTCCTTAAGAACTTCCTTATGCTTTCTAGGTTTTCACTTTTCAGTACCTCTCTTATGCTTAACCAGCTGTCCCTTTCACTGGGGAAAATCCAGAAACGACTTTCTTGTTTTTGGTCATTTGTCATGGTTGCATGAAGCTTTGTACATGATATTTGTGATGTTTCACCACATATTTCACAATCAATGCCCCTCATGTTTCTCCCAAAGATTATTTCACATATACATCAGCCTTTATTCCTGGCCATGATTACTTTTAAAAAGGTGTATGTGGTGGATGGTGTATTTATTATGTGTGGCTGGTGGTGGGGTGGCTGGTAGGTGGGGTGGGCTGGGCAGTGGGTATATTTGGGTAGAGGGTAGGGAACCTATTATCCATTGTCAACAGGAATATAATTGAATCAGTTTCACAAAAAGCATTTTTGAATATATGAATATATCTTTTGTTTTATATAAATTAGATTCACTTATAATTAATAGATCTATTGTACAACTATGATATAATTCTTTAGTGTTAAGTAGTCAGTAAGCCAATAATGTTAAGTCAGCCCATAATGCCTAGGCATAATAAATAGAGACTCTCTGCATTGCAGCACATTATTGTAAATACATAATCTCAATGTACTATTCGCAAAGACATAAATAAATAAATAAATAAATAGGTGTCAATATTAACACTACTAAATATAAAAGCAAAATTTAGGCCAGCCAAACCTCATGGGAAGCAACACATGGAATGTGTCTGACATGTTATGCTGGATTTCAAGGGTAGAACCATCAACATCATTCACAAGTTATCACTATACAAGTGAGAATATTAATACATGTACTTGACTAAGCCAGATTGAACTTTATCCATCATTTCCAAACTCAATTTACAGTAGAACCCCTATATCCACAGATTTGGTATCCAAGGTTTACTGTGGCCTAAGAGTAACCTTTAATTTTGCTTAATTATAGCCCCAAAGTGCAAAAGTAGTGATGCTGACAGCTCTTCAAAGCCTATGAGACAATGAAATGCTTTCCATCAGTGAAAAAGTGCTAATTCTAGATTTATTTTGCATAGTCTGTCAATTCAACTTTATCATAGGTATGTAAAAAAAAAAAAAAAAAAAAAAGACTTACACAGTGGACCCTCGACCAACAATATTAATCCGTTCCAGAGAGCTTGTCCTTAGCCGAATTAATTTTCCCCATAAAAAATAATGGAAATCCAATTAATCCGTTCCAGACACCCAAAAGTATGAAAAAAAAAAATTCACATGAAATATACATTTTCCTACACAGAAAAACAAGGATACATGCACAATACTGTACTAAATGAAGAATAAGTGACACTTACCTTTACTGAAGATGTAGTGATGAGTGATGAGATGGGAGGAGGGAGATGGAGGTGTATTATTGTTTGGAAGGGGAATCCCCTTCCATGAGGACTTTAGGTACCAAGTCTTTTTCCAGGGTTCCTTCCCTTTTTTTTTTTTAATGCCACTGGGAACAACTTGAGAGTCACTGGACCTCTGTCGCACCAAAAATCTGTCCACAGAGCTCTGTACCTCGCGTTCCTTTAAGATTTTCCTAAAATGGGCCACAACATTGTCACTGTAAAAGTCACCAGCATGACTTACAATAGCTGTGTCAGGATGATTTTCATCCATAAAGCTTTGCACCTTTGTCCATATTGTACAAACTTCCTTAATCATTGAAGAAGGCAACTTCCTCCATTTCTCTCTCCCCTCCTCTGAAGCAATTTCCTCAGTTGTGGCCTCTTGCTATTGCAGATGCTCTTGCAGCTCATCAGTGGTTAGTTCTTCGTAGTCATCCTCCACCAATTCTTCCACATCCTCCCCACTAACCTCCAACCCCAAAGACTTCCCTAATGTCACGTTAGATTCCACAACTGGCATAGTCTTCTCAGGGTTAGCCCCAAACCCTTCAAAATCCCTCTCTTGTACACTTTGTGGCCACAATTTCCTCCAAGCAGAGTTCAAGGTCCTGTTAGTTACTCTCTCCCAAGCCTTCCCTATAAAGTTTATACAACTGAGGATACTAAAGTGATCTTCCCAAAAGTCTTGTAGGGTCAATCGAGTGTCTGAGGTCACTTCAAAGCACTTCTGAAACACTGCTTTGGTGTACAGTTTTTTTTAAATTTGAAATGACCTGCTGGTCCATGGGCTGGAGGAGAGGAGTGGTATTAGGAGACAAGAACTTGACATTGATAAAACTCAAGTCCCCCAAAATTCGCTCTGGCAACTCTGAAGGATGAGCAGGAGCATTGTCTAATACCAGGAGGCACTTGAGGTCCAATTTATTTTCCAGGAGGTAATTTTTCACAGTGAGGCCAAGCACATGATAAGACAAATCATAGAAAATGTTCCTAGTGACCCATGCCTTATTGTTTGCCCTCCACATCACACACAAATTAGCCTTGATGACATTGTTTTTCTTGAACACACTGGGAGTTTCAGAGTGATACACGAGTGATACACTTTGCAATCCCCACTAGCATTACTACACAACATGAGAGTTACCCTGTCTTTCATAGGCATGTGTCCTGGCAGTGCTTTTTTCTCCTGTGTAATGTAGGTCCTGTTTGGCATTTTCTTCCAAAACAGGCCTGTTTCATCACAATTAAACACTTGTTGGGGTTTTTAATTTTTCAGTGTCTATGTACTCCTTGAATTCCTGCACATATTTTTCAGGAGGGGTGTTAATGTTGCAGTTTAAAAACTGTAGTGTAAAGTACCCTTCTGGCAAGACAGTGATGGAGTTAATGATGGTGAAAGTTTTTCTTTTTCGGGCCACCCTGCCTTGGTGGGAATCGGCCAGTGTGATAATAAAAAAAAATAAAAAAATAATTTTTCAGCCACTTTTTTGTCTGAACTGGCAGCCTCTCCATGCCTTACCACATTGTGTATGCAACTACGATTCCTAAATCTCTCAAACCAACCTTTGCTGGCCTTAAATTCAATAACATCACCACTAGTTGCAGGCATTTTTTTTAATTAAATCGTCATGCCACTGCCTTGCCTTTTCACATATTATTGATTGAGTAATACTATCTCCTGTTATTTGTTTTTCGTTTATCCACAATAACAACAGTCTCTCAACATCTTCGAGTATTTGCAATCTCTGTTTCAAAAACATACTTGCACCTTTCGCAACAACAGCTTCCTTGATTGCCTTTCTGTTGGCCAAGAGTAGCAATGGTTGATTGGGGTTTGTTATACAACTTGTCCAGCTCAGAGGCACGCACATACTTTGTAATTATCTCCTTCATTTCGATTGTAATTCTCACCCTTTTTACCACAGGGTTGGCACTAGAAGCTTTCTTTGGGCCCATGATGGCCTATTTAGCAGTTACAAGCACTAAAAACACTGGAATAATACAAAATGTACCGAATGCATGCATGGACGTGACCGCACTGGCTTGTAAACACTGACACACTAACTGAAGGCAGGGCAGCTGAGGTGCGCTCAGGCCAGATGGATGCGTGAGCGCGTTGAGGACGAATGTTGTTAGTCGAGTTTTTCATTGTAGGTTGGGCCAAAATTTTCACGCTCAAATGCATTAGGCGATTTTTATCGTCAGACGATGCCATCGTTGGTCGAGGGTCCACTGTATGTGGGGTTCACTCCTATCCACGGCAAGTCTTGAAACGTATCCCCAGCAGATACAGGGATCCTACTGTATTGTACCTAGCAGACCATAACAATAAAAGACAATTCTGGAAATAATGGATATTGTCTGTTGTTTCTGAAATCATTTACTCAATGAAATATAATAACGGATAATTCTGGAAATGATGGAATTTTACCGTTGTTTTCATAATCAAGTTACCCAGTGGATCACAACAATTATGGATAGTTCTGGAAACAAAAGACTTTATCAGCTAAATCCAAAATCCATTAAAACAAGGTTTTTACCAATAAAAAAATGCTGCAAAAGTTTTTCATTTTTGGAAGGAATTCCTCTGAAAAACGCCTAAATGAAAGCACAAAGATTCTGATTAAAGATCTCTTCGTACTTTACTAAACAAAACCATTTTAAGTTTAAAATTATGAGACTTAAATAAAATCTTACTTAACCTTGAATATGCAGCATCAATAATATGGAAAGAAATAGAGGGTATAACATTCAGATTTTCAAATAAGGCAAAAAGTGACTTACTGGCAATTTGGTCATAGGAGCCTTTGGGACCTTTGGACCGAAGTTATCTTCCATGAACTGCAAAAGCTGCACCACCAGCTGTGACAGCCCCTTATTGTTTGGAGGATCTGCTTGCACATGCTGTTAATGAGAAAGTGGCAAGATAGATAACTGGTAAGCATATAGTACAATGACATTTTACTTACTGACATGACTTATTTTTTTTTTTAAATCTAACATACTTATGATGTGCTCCTTTATTATCCCCACATCAAAATACTGTAATATACAGTACATTTCGAAAAATTCAAGAAGCAGAGTGGCATACACAGTGTTGTATGGCATGGTGTGGCAGCAAGTTCAGATAAACATGGGGCTGAAAAGTTCGTGCATGAATAGAGGCTGAAGGATTCATCCCCCCAACAAGTGTTCAAGAAAATGCCAAAGATGACCTACATCATGAAGGAGGAAAAGGACACAAGCCAGGACACAAGCCTATGAAAGACAGGCTAACTCTCTTGCTCTGTGGTAATGCTAGTAGGGATTTCAAAGTGAAGCCTTTACTGGTGTATCACTCTGAAAATCCCAGTGCGTTCAAGAAAAACAGTGTCGCCAGGAGTAAATTGTGTGTGATGTGGAAGGCTAACAGTAAGGCATTGGTCACAAGGGAAATTTTCCTTGATTGGTTCAACAAAGTGTTTGACCCCAGTGTGAGAAAATACCTCCTGAAAAAGAAACTGCCACTCAAGTGCCTCCTGGTTATGGACAATACTCCTGGTCATCCTCCAGACCTGGATGACCAAATGGTGGAGGAGTTTAATTTCATCACAGTGAAGTTCTTGCCTCCTAACACCACTCCTCTCATCCAGTCCATGGACCAGCAGATCATTTCAAACTTCAAAAAATTCTACACCAAAGCAATATTTCAAAGGTGCTTTGAGGTGACCTCAGACACTCAATTGACCCTAAGAGAGTTCTGGAAAGATCACTTCACTATCCTCAATTGCATAAGCCTTATAGATAAGGCTTGGCAGGGAGTGACTTCCAGGACAATGAACTCTGCGTGGAGAAAATTGTGGCCAGAATGTGTCCAAGAGAAAGATTTTGAAGGGTTTGGGGCTGACCGTGTCGACTCTACACCTGTTGTGGATTATAGTGTGGCATTGGGGAATTCCATGGGATTGGATGTGAGTGACCAGGATGTGGAAAAGTTGGAGGACCAGAGTGAAGAACTAACCAGTGAAGAGCTGCAAAACCTTCATCTGCAACAGCAACAAGGCACAGCTGAGGAAAATGCTTCAGAGGAGGAGGAAGAGAGAGGGGAGAATGTGCCTTCTTCAGTGATTAAGGACATGTGTTCGAAGTGGAGTGAGCTGCAAAGTTTTGTGGAGAAATATCACCCTAACAAAGCTGTTGCAAGCCATGTCGGCAACATGTACAATGACAATGCCATGTCCCATTTTAGGTAAATTTTGAAGAGACGCCAGAAACAGAGCTCTCTGGACAGTTTTTTGTGTGACAGGGGTCCAGTGACTCTCAAGCTGGTCCTAGTGCCAGTAAAAAACAAAGAAGGGAAGCACCTGAAGTCTTTATGGAAGGGGATTCCCCTTCCAAACAATAGTGACTTCTTACTCTCCCCTCCTCCCTGTCTACCATACACCAACAAAGAGCCTTCAATAAAGGTAAGTGTCATGTTATTACACTATTGTTTTATACTACATACTTGATTTCTCATTCTTTTCTGTATGTAAATCTATATTTAATGTATAAAAAAATATTTTTTGTTAATACTTTTGGGTGGCTGGAACAGATTAATTAGATTTACATTATTTCTCATGCAGAAAATGGTTTGTTTTAGTCGTTTTCACATTTCGTTGGACTCTCTGGAATGAATTAACAAAAAGGGAGAAACCACTGTACATGGTCTGCAGTACATAGAAAGACAATATGAATATAAAATACAGTATATCCCCACAGAAATCAAGTCACACTGTCTTATTTTATTGAGTTATCACAGATCAATGTACAAAATGTACCATATGTGAGTGCTCATAATGTGTGCCCTCAAAGAATACCAGTGATCTCGACATTACCACATCATTTAGTCAAACATTTTAGATATTTTTCCTATCAGTAAACACTAGCTTAATTAAACCTAGCCTAAATTTGGCTGTTGGAGAACTTGTGGTTACATTTTAACAATTCACCAAACTTGCTGCCTGGATAGCTCACTGACATCTGTGATTAACAAAAAAGTTGATGACTTTGTTGCACATACCCTTAAAACTATTGCAGAAATAAAATGTTATGTATGAAATACCTATTCAGTATTATTAAAATTGTACTCATGGCGAGTCCTAAATGTGTAGAGGTCATATATCTGGGAAAATGAAAGGTATCAGATTCGATCTAAGGAATGGGAATTTATTATTATTATTATAGTCAACGAAAGAGCTAAACGTAAGGAAAGGGAAGATAAGTCCAATTCCTTAAATCAAGCTGCTCACCAGCATTTAGGTATTTTCCTTAAGGGAAAGTACTTAAATAATATCTTGCTTATCAAATCATTTCATGAACATAATCAGGCTACCAACAGTAACAGCCTGGTTGATCAGGCAATCACCAGACAAGCCTGGTCCAGGGCTGGCCTACAAGTAGGAACTCTCAAAAGACTTCAAAGGTATATCAAGAGAACACCATCTCTAATAAATACCTATAGTAAGCTGGCTTTGAACATTAACCAAGGATACCAAGAATAATATTCTTGCATACATTTATTTTAATCAGGGCTGGGACAATACCAAATTTTTTTTAAGTAGGTAGGTTTATTAAGGCACAGGCACACATAAGCACAATTATCATACATAGTGTAAATTACACAACCTGCACATAGGAGAGAGAAGCTTACGACGATGTTTCGGTCCAACTTGGACCATTCACAAAGTCACAAAGTCGGTGTGACTTTGTAAATGGTCCAAGTCAAACCAAAACATCGTTGTAAGGTCCTCTCTCCTATGTGTGGGTTATCAGTGTATTGTTCCAATCACGGTAATGTGCCTTTTTGTTCTATATAGTGTAAATTACATAAGAAAGGAGGAACACTGCAGTAGGCCTATTGGCCCATACTGGGCAGGCCCTTTACAATCCAACCCACTAGCAGAATATTTGCCCAACCCACTTTCAGTGCTACCCTAACAATAAGCTCTGAGAAATTTATTTACTGGCATCCACCATTCCAGAACACCCACCTGCCTGCTGGTTTATCCAACCTAAACTTGAACTACCCAAGGTTCGCTTCAATCACTATAGAGAATTTTCTCATAATACCCTATTTCAAGCTCTTTCCTATAATTATCCAAGATAACCACAATTATAATGCATAATTTGGTTTCTTTGTGGACATACCAAATTTTTTAAGTAGTAGGTTTTATAGCCATCTCCACTATAACTTCAATTGTCTACAAGTAAATTACAGCAGACTTCATCTAGATTGGGAGCTTATCACTTTTTCAGGCCGATCATCCAAATTAGGCAACCCCAAAATCGTTTGTATTTTTTATAATTTGTTTTTATAACACACGTGTGTTACCCCTCTCAGGTGGCCGTAAAAGTAAAACTTTCCCATCGTTAATCTCCTTTTTGTTCATAAGTGTAAATTAAACACAGTGTTAAACTGCAACGATTACACCCATTCCCTAGGGCAGGCACTGTACTCCCCTCAACCCACTAGCGATTTTGCCCAACCCATTTCTTGCTACCTCTAACAAACTCTCAAAACTATATTTAAACCATTTGTCTCCATTCACTCCTATCAAACCACGCTCACTGCATGCTGCTGGAACTCCAACCCTTGCAACAAAACTTTCACTTCAATCACCCTCACTAGCCTTCCTAGCCGACACCTACCCCTTTCCATACAGCGAAACCTTGAAGTCATTCTTTCCAATTCTCCTACATTTCCAACCACTAAATCCTTTTGTGTACCTCTTGAGAGACATCCTCAAGACATTTAACCCCTTTTTGTAACCCACTTCCACTTACTCTTCATTGTCCAACGAGTGACTTATTTCTGGGGCTTGAATTCTCTCTTTTTCAGCCAAAACAATGCCATTAGGCGATACACCATATTACTTCTCGATATTATTAAAATTAGCCAATACAGATACATGTACTTTGGAACCCCTTATTGTAATACATAAGTCTCAACAGAAAACCTATTAAAAAATTGTAGTTTTTATTTTAAGCTGGGAGAAGTACTAAACCCTCTGAGGCAATGAAGTGCCTGGGAAATGGGAAGCATTTATGCTCAATTCAAGGAAAGGGAGGATAAGTCCAGTTGCTTGGATCAGGAGCTCCATACTGGCATCGATACCTGCTTTGACGGGATGAGAATTGTAGATCCTAGGTTATCCTATTGATTACATACCTATGACAACTGCATGCAATATGTAATACATATTATACAGATTAATGCATGTACTGTAATACCTCTGTATGATGGCAAAATACCAGATACAATTTTCACTCAACACTAGTTTAGAAGAAAACCAAATTAAAGATAAGTAGTTTTGCCAGACTGCCACCAGCTTGTCCTCGCCCACAACCCGATAAACACCAGTTAAAAAAAAATAAAACGAAAAACCAAATGTATAACGAATGATAAATGACTTAAAAAAAAAAAAAGACAAGTTGAAGAATGAGACAGTTGTGCAACATTTTGGAATCTTTACTGAGTGACTTCATCATTCGTGACTTCATCAGTCCAATACAAAGAAGAGTGGAAACAGAGGAGTTTGAGGTAACAGCCCCTGGGGTCTGATTACCTCAAACTCCCCTATTTACACCATCTTTGTGTATTGGATGTTTGAAGCCACTGCGTAGCGAAACGTTTCCTCAGAAAAAATTCCAAACGCTGCAAAGCCTTTTTTTCAACAAAATAAAAAGGCCGGGCGGGGGAAAAAAATTTTCCCCAGTACAACCCCGGCGGCTTTAATCGGGCCCCCTGCACCCCACACCCCTTTCTTCGCATTTTTATTACCCATGTCTTGCGTGCTCGAATGAGATACAGTCTCTTAGACTCGTAATACTTGACGTGGGCCCCCGCCTTTCCCTGGGGTTGTCGCCATCTCTTCCAAAAAAAAAACAAAAACCTAAACAACAAAGATGGCA